CACACCCAACCACACCCCACACTCACACCCGACACCCACACCCACCCACACCAACACCTACACACACCCACACCCACACCCAACCACACTCCACACCTCACACTTACACTCCACACCCCACACCTACACTCGACACGCACACCCCACACTCACACCCGACACCCACACCCACCCACACCAACACCTACAGACACCCACATCCACACTCACACACCCACCTACCCACTCAAGATACCACATAAGATAATATCCCTATTGGCATAAACACACCACCCGCACTCACACCTGCATTTGCTTTTTGGTTAGAAAAAGAAAACTCGCTAATGATGGAAAAACACTTAAGTTTGTGGAACTACAAGTTTTTAATTAGCTCCGATTACGGATATCTCTTGTTTATTTAACTAATATTTTAAAAATCTTATTGTGTTCGTTCTACTTATATCTTCATTGTATACGGTTTGCTGGAGTTCTTTAACGAGTATCATCGCATTTCACAAGTCTATAATTGAACTGCATAAGGATACTTTACTTTCTCACCATTTTCGTTTTGTATGCATTATACTCCTCAAAAAGAACTCTTTGTGCTCCCAAGCAAAATTCAAGCTGTTGTTCTTTGACTGTCAAATCATTTGTTTCATCATATTTTACCAATGGTGTCAAATACCTGCTTGGAATAAATGCTTGAAAGCTGCCACCTAAAGCACCTTTTTGAGCTGCTACTCTGCCAACTATGAAGTACACACCTTCAGGAATATCAATTTTAGTACTGAATTTGACCGAATTCCATTCATCCAGTAGCGCTAAGTCATGTCTAGTGCCCCAATTACCTTCTCTTTCTTCCAAAGTCCAATATTGACCGACTTTGCCTGCTTTTCCTCCATATAATCGGTAAAGAGTGACTTTATTGATAGGTGTGACAATTGTATAACTTCCACCAACAAAATTGCTTACATCATTATTTGAATCATCTTTGTTTAAATATGATAATAGTCCATAATCAGCAGCTGTATAGTGTACTTTAATTTCTAGTCCAATACTTCTCAACTCATCCTCGTAATGGCACTTGACGTTTCCCATTTTATCAACTATATGCGTGTTGTTATTTTTCTCTAAATTATGATTTAAAAACATAACTGTAATAGTTATCCGGATGTGGGTGCGCGTGTTGGTGGGGGGTGTGGATGTGGTTGTCGGTGTCGATATGGTTGTGGGTGTGAGTGTGGGTGAGGTGTGTGGGTGTGGATCGGTGTGGGTGTTCGTGAATCAAGAAGATAAATACATATCCACACCCACACAGCCACCACCCACACCCACAGCTACACCCACACCCCACACACATCCACCCACACCCCACACACCCACCCACACCCCACACACCCACCCACACCCACACCCACACCCACACCCCACACCCCACACAACCCACACCCACATCCGACCTCAAACATCCTGACGAACTCTATTGAGAAAACGTTTTCTGAACTTCCTTAGGAACATAGAATGTGATAACTTACTTGATTCTTTCCCTGTTAAATTTCCTACATCGTACGGAGCTTTTCTACCGTTGCCATTTCCAGATGAAGCACCAACACTTGAACGACTCCCGATGGAGGTACCTTCGTTTGGTAAGTCGCCTTGACATGATCCAGCTAGAGAAAAAAGAAAGTAAACAGAAAGTTGGAATTTTCCTCTTACAACTACTGGCTGCTGCAACACTAAGATTTTGTTTCATCGTCTGATACTCTTGTTGATTGCGGGGACCTGTCGATGAAACATTCGTTTGACCAGCAAAAATGTCAGCTGCATCGTATCGTGAACTCATACTGTTTATTGGGACCTGACCTTCCGTTAATTTTAGTTGTAAATTGACGCCACCATAGACGTGCATGCCACTACCTGTTTTATTTAAAAAGACAGCTGGCACCCAATTGCACGTATCATCAGCATGTTCTATTAAAAGAAGATGGAAAATAAAAACAAATTATTCAAGAACATAATTTAACTCACTCATTCGATCGTACTTCTCTTCATTCTCACTAACCCGAATTTTTAATTGTTCAATGGGTCCCATCAATGCGTAATCACGAGCAGTAAGTCCGTTGGCAATGAAGCGAGCTAATTTCTCAGTGCCACCTAATTGATAATCAAGCCATGCTTTCACATAGAGTCGCGCTATACTTGAAATGGGAATATGAGCTTGTGAACAAATGCTCACAACTGCGTCACCTATAATATTTTGATCAACTTCTTCCAATTTTGACCGAATCATTGATCGAGCACTTTGTTCTTCGTATGAAGATATATTCCACGATGAAATATCACTTTTGGACAGAGCCATATTATAGTATCGATCGATTTGTTCATCAGTAGTCTGTGGATAGTCGATCTTTGTCCTCAATTCAGCTAGATGGCACTGAATCGGATACGGATTTACTGGTGCCTTCAAGTGTTCATATCGACTGCGTGCAAAGATGTAAAGAGCACTAAGCTTGAGTAATTCTTTGAGACGCAGAAGTTCAGGAAAATATGAGCCAGTCTCATCGTAATGATCGGTAAAAGCTTTGGCAAATTGACTTTCGGCCGAGCATTTTTCTTCTTCACTCTCATTCGCCTCTTCATCATCGACCAATTTACCCTCCGCATCTCGTATAAGTAAATGCTTGCGAACACGTAGTCGAACATCGTCAACACGATACTGGATTTGATTGCCTACGAGTTTTCGTTCATAAATGACTTCATCCGCTTCGATCCAGAATCGATGAGCTCGTCCGAAGCTAAAATTCCGTTCACGATCATGAAGAGGTTTCAGTTTTTGTTGCAAGTGTACTGGCAGACGTTCGAAGAAACTGCCGCTAATGGGGCGCATTTCAAAGGGCGGTTTGGCACAGACTTCCGTACCGCTGGTAAACATTTTTAAGAGATAATCCGTATGTAGTAGAGTAGCACAATATTGAGTGTAGAGAAGTGAAGATGGATAGTAGAGCATTTCTTGAAATGGATGAGCGTGAAAATTGTTATCAGGTTGATTGAGAGTAAAAAAACAACTAGTGAGACCTCGTTGAAATACTTCGATAACATCATTACTATCAAACATAGCTTCACCAGATTTCAATGTGACGGGTTGAAAGGAAAATTGTACTTGGCCAGATTCTGTATCAAATGAAATGCCATCAACTTTATTGAATTTCTTTGTACTTGCGAAATTGAGTTGTCGACGTTCTCGATAAAGCCAACCGTCATTTGTTCGGGGAATAAGAGGAATATCAAGTAAAAGTTGAACATCGAACAAATCCCAACCTTTCGTAGCTAACAGGGTTTGCATACATTTTAGACGAATTTCGCTGAAATTTTGAGTATGAGCCCAACCTTGCCACGCACCTTCAAAGAGATAATATACATACAAATAGGAACGATCGGCCATCGCTTCTAGAAAATTAACTAGTAAACGTTGACCAACTGCTTCTAAGTACAGAACATCATAGCTCAGTGATGTTGATAATTGAATGAATGGAGATACGTTGGTGAGATGAACAATAAAATTCAGCAACTGAGTAATCAGTTGATTTTGTCGCTCGGAAATGATTGGAGTGGCATTTTCTTTCGTCTGTGAAAGGCAGCGAGCACAAGATAATCGAAAAATTCGATTTGTTTCAATTAGAAGAGTGAAGAGACGACGGAAAATATAGGTTTGCATGTGTGGTGGAAGAAAATGACGAGATAAAGCAAATGATTGACAAACGAGTTCTTCGATCATATTTCGGTAAGCATAAATATTAGCTTCTTGACCCGAGCTCGAGTGTGCTTTTAGAATTAAGTCAAACAAATATATACATGCAATTACCCAATTCGTTACTATACATGTTGGATCATGTACCGCATTACACATGTCAATATAGGACAAAGCTGATTGAAGCGAATCCTTATTCAGACGTTTCAAAATAGCTCGTTCATACTTGCGTATAAGATTAATACGGATATTAGGAGTCAGATGATTTTCGGCAGCAAATTCAGATGGTGGTGGTTGAATAGGAGCTACAAGAATACTACTGACACCTTTGGTGGGTAGTTCACTAATGGCCGATAGTAGTTCCTTGATTAGCGCTTGATGAAATGTCGAATCACTCATGAAAATAACCAATGCTGTTGCAGTCTCCTCAGAAGGCGAACATACCATCGCTTGATTAAACTTTCCAGCAGCATCAGAATATTTTCCTTTCAGTTTTGAAATCATTGCTTCTATCAAATACATTTTTGCGCGATAGTCACCAGGTGCTGTGTTCATCTTTCGATTCCCAAAATATTCACGATGAATTTTTTCTAAAGCGCCAACATTGATGGTTTTAGAAAGAGTATCGGCTAGTTGGATGATGTTCATGTAGACTGCAGGTTTTAGTATAACATATGCATTATCAAGAAGTGATTTGCGATATCGATCCACCAAGTCTTGCACGGAACGTTTCTGTGTTAACAAATCATTACTGGATAAAAAGTGGAGAACAGCATCAATAGTATCGATGTTTTTTTCAAATTGTTCAGCCATGATGTCAAGCAACTGAGAATGAAACGGAACATCGATTATGTTGATATCTTTCAACATTAATATAAATTCAATAAGAATATTCATCATTGGTTTGTTCGCTTTTTGAAAGTCATTGCAGATGGTTTCCAGTATCTTAGGAAGGATTGTCCTGTCTGATTTCATTCGTTTGTAGATAGCGAGATGACAACGTTGAGCTTGAGAAGTTGGTAAACATTGTGTCGTCGATTCGATAACCGAGAGAGCAGTAGATAAAATCGGTGACGCATTCAGATGCAACATGTAATAATTAAGAGCAATTTCGAAGTGATTCGTCCCAGCTGCATATACTTCAGCTAGTTGAAAATAATTGCATGTGGATATGAGAGATTGCATGAGATAAGCAAATGGTTCATTTTCACTTAACGCTGTTTCAAGCCACTTTAGATCATCATTGCCATCTAAGTGTAAAATATGACGAAACTTGTAGCAAATCAATACCTTATCAAACTCATGAGAAATATAGTATTGTCTTTGTAATGCATCCCAATCCTTTAGTTTTAGAAAATGGACAACAATGAGAGCGATCAGCGTTTTGTCTGTAATTGCTAGTGGACGTGTAAAACAGAGGTCAAGAATATTAGAAGAATTCAGAAGTGAACAGCAGATAACTTGAACAAATGGACTCGTAGATATAGTTGCTATTTGAGTCAATAATGCATTGGAAATTATTTTCAATAGCTTACCAACAATCCTAAACTGACGATTACGCGCCAGACCGTCTAAGACAGATGTCCATTGAGCGGCATTCAGTTCAACGAGTTGAAGAGTCAATATGGTTGATGGACCAAGAGTTTTATCAAACAAATAATCAGTTAACCATTCAATCCAGGTGTCAGACTGGTTCATTTGTCGTGCTTGAGCTGTGGTATAGAGAGCGACTAGTGTTCTATCTAGTTTCAACACAGATTTCAGCCAAACTTGTTTATGACTAAGTTTGGCTTGTTGATAAGAAAAGAATGCGAGAGGAACATTACCTTTTGTACAGTAATTATCACCCATTTTGGACCATTGTTCAGGTGTGTAGTAAAATCGCTCCGTGATGACATTGAAACAAGTAAATGCATCAGCAAAAGCTTCAGCTAAACAAGTAGTTTCGGATAAGGTAAACCAAGCCTCGCAAGACGCATCACGGTAAGTAAAACATTGCATGACACCTGCAAAATTTCGCGAAGCAAGGAAATCATTTTCAACTAACTCATACAATGGGTATTTCTGCGGCGAATAATGATGAAGTAGTGCGATGTATATCGAGAGATATTGGGTAGAACGCTTAACGAGACTTCGTTGGATGTTTGTTTGAATAGCATCAATAATAATGTCTTTTTTCCGTGACGAACACGCCTGACAGATGCGCACTGGCCTTGTATAGCCTAAATGACGGCAAGTTTGCCATTGTTGACAGTCCCAGCATTGTGTTTGACCACACATTCGACAATGATAACGACCACGAAAGAGAATGTACCATAGAGTTTTCTTACAGTCTGAACACTTTGAATCGTCAGTAATTGTGTTCGGTGGTGCTTTGACGTCATAGCAAAGTTGACCGAGAGGAGAGTTCGTATCAACATTGTTAACAATTGATAAACGTGTTCCAGTTGAGACACGATGATTATTATCTTCATTGACAGTCTGCTTTCGACCCGGGGCATGGGAGCGATTCTCGTCATCGATAGCAGCGATAAGTGACCCAATATCGGGTAAATAAACAACTGGACGAATGCTGGAGAAAATTTTGGCACGTTTTTCTGTTTGGCTGTCAATTATTATTTTAGATGAAGTTACATCGTTGAGGATCGATAGTGTTGGACCCAGTTCATCGACCAGATGTGGCACTTCAGTCCATTTCTTACTGATCCATAACTCTTGTAAAATGGATTCCGGTGGATCTATTGGCTTCCATGACCAATCATCTACTGCGAGTGCGGACAATTGATCGCTGACTGATGGATTCGATCTGCATATCTTTTCTAAACTCATCATATATTTCTCCATTTTCCACCTAAAATGTTCACTTAGATCGTTGCAGTTCTCGTTGCAGATTGAGCACACAGTTGGTGGTAACGAGATGTCATTCAAATCATCTGTATACTTGCCTAAAATAGTTTTAGTAACGTTCGCTATTACTACATCGACGTTGTCGATAAACGTTTGATTTGAATATTCGGCAATCCAACCTGCTATTTTTTCTTCGTACATTTGAGAAGGTCGTTTGCCTGTAGTTAGTTGAAATGCATCGAGCACAATGGTGTCATCGTCGTCGTCACGTTCCGCATCATATTCGAGCTTAGTGACGTTGCCGGATAGTATTTCGTAAGCTTTTTTAATCATTTTAAACATTTCTTCTGCATAGATATCATCATCGCGTTTGTCAGGATGCCATTCAAGTGCTTTTTTCTTGTAGGCTTGTCGTATAGCATCTGCAGAAGCATTGCTGTCAATACCCAAAAGTTTGTAATGGTCAGCTTTTGAGTCCATATGGGTTAAGAGAAGGTTGAGAATGTGAAAGAAAAAATGGTTAAGTATAGAGAAAAACGATTATTTATAAGATCTGCTGCAGATGAGTCAGCTGTTCTGGTGGAAAAATCCGTGCGGAATATTGCAAATCTACAAGTTTAGTTGCGTCATTCAAGATTAGATAACGAAAGAAGAAACAACAAATGACTTGTTCTTTGTTTATCTTTACTCATTTATATTAAAGATGTGTGAGTAAATTTCTTCTTATCTCTTGCTTCTTTTCTTTTCAGCTCGATTTTCACCTAGGGGGAAAAGCGGTGCCTGGTGGATCCTAGGATCCATAAGGATCCAGCAGAAACCACAGGATCCACCGGGATCCACAGGGTCCACCGGGATCCACCGGGATCCACAGGGTCCACCGGGATCCACAGGATCCACTGGGATCCACAGGATCCACGAGGGTGTGGGTGTGGGTGTGGGTGTGGGTGTGGGTGTGGGTGTGGGTG